TGTGTGTGTGTGTGTGTGTGTGTGTGTGTGTGTGTGTGTGTGTGTGTTCAAAGGTGATATAGTAGGCAAAAGTTTGGAAATTACATGTATGAACAATTTTTTTAATAATGGAAAGTCTGGATCTTGCCTTAATCTCTGAAGCAGGAATCCATCACACAAAAGAATGCCTGCTCTTAAACAGTATGTTTAGATAGTAGCCAGTTTTTTAACTCTAAAGATAAAAATGCTAAATTATATGGGCCTCACTTCCTGTCCAACTTCTCTGTATTTCATCCCTTAGTGACCTCCATCGCTGGAGGTATAAAAGGTACATCTTTTCTCTGGGGAGTTGAAAGTTTGCTATTCTGAATCACAACCTTTCTGTTTATACTCTGGCTTTCAGACCCATTGGCCATGACATTAAAAGAGGGGAATGTGTATTGGCCAAGGGAACCCACATGGGCCCATCAGAGATTGGTCTCCTGGCAACTGTTGGTGTCACAGAAGTTGAAGTTAACAAGTTTCCAGTAGTTGCAGTCATGTCAACAGGGAATGAGGTAAAAAAAAAAAAAAAAAAACCAACTTACTTTCAACTTAATGCATTTCTAATATCCATTCTAATTAGGGTTGTGGATCTACCTAAAATGTTGTGAATTAACATTCCTTGTGTCTATATTGCGAAATTATCTCTGTTTCTTCCTCTGTAAAATGACAGGTTTAGAGAAGATGAGCCCCCTTCCAGTTATTACCTATAATCCTATGACAAGATGATCTTCTAACAGGAAAGTAGGAGGATGGTTTCCAAGTAGTTTAGGTAGAGAAAATGAGAATGCTACCCAAGCAATTAGAAATTAGATGTTCAGAAGCAGTAATGTCCTTCAATTCATTAGAATAAAGTATTAAAACCAGTGGCCTCTGTAACCATCACATCCCTTAGAAGAGAAAGAAATCATCACTTGGAAGCTGCGTATACTTGATTATGTATTTTCAACACTTAAGCCACAACAGCGGTGAAGTGTGACTCCCCTGCTACTGAGATACTGGACTAGCCCTGGGCAGGGAGTAATGCTATCAGTCAGGACACCAGAGCTAGCCCTTCTCCCTGCTCAAAAGGCCATGTGACTGTTGTCATTTAGAGTAGATTGATGTTTAGTCTCTTCTCTTAAAGGCGTCTTGCTCTTCTAATGTGTCAAAATGCTGCTTCAAGCCTAATTCAGGAAGTTGAATTAAGTTTATATTGGTCCTAACTGATGACTCTTCCGAACTTTCTTGGTCTTTTGTCTGGGATATGCCACGTTTCAGTAAGGGAATTCTGGGGCTAAACGTTTAGTTTTCACTTCTGGAAACTCAAGATATGAAAGCTGCCTGGCACATAGTAAATGTTTGATAAGTGCTTGCTAAGTAACTGACTGGACAAGATTTTTTTAATGTTTTAATTATTTAAAATATTACTGTCAAAAGATGTAAGGAGGACATCTTTTGAAAAAAAACTATTTGTTTTTTTTTTATTACCGCCTGTTATTTTTAATTTTCTAAAGTCCTGAATATGACATTACCCTATGGCTTTTCCTTGGGACAAAAAAAAAAAATCTCCTCTTATATTGCTAATAAAGGTAAAATCAACATTCCACATTTGTTTAGTTCCCAGCGGGTATGCTCATCTTTTTTTCCAGTATTATCTGTTGACTTCTAACTCTCTAGGATCAGAGAACAATAATTATATTAGTATAATTATTAATCAGTATTATATAGTAATTATATTACTATAATAGTAAAGGAGAAGCTGGATGTGTTTCATATTCCACAGACCAAATGATTCAAATATAATGTTCAGAATCAGGAATTGGGTTTAATGTGACTTATGGGAACCTTATATCTAAGTGTCTTTGAAGGTTGTTTAAAAACATTTTGCATCTAGTTTAGCATTTTCCAAACCATGTTCATGGAACAGTGGTGTTCTGCATGATGTATCTAGGCATTCCGTGAGAAACTATTGATGCTAATGTTATATTATTCTATCAGACATTAAATATGCCATTTTGTGTGTCAGGAAATTTATTGCACATACCTACAATTATACATATGTACTCATCTTTTACATGTGCAGTGATTTTTTTATCCTGAGTATGGAATTTCACATTTATCCTTATTAAATTCTATCTCACTGTTATGTTTATTGATGTACATGTATTATCTTATATAAGATTGTAAGTTCCTTGACAGCAGGGACTGTGTCTTATCTTTGTTATTCTCTTGATACCTAGCACAGTGTACTGAACCAAAGAAGAGTGTACTGTGCAATTTAATTCAACAGACCTTCATTAAATATTTACTATATATAAGGCTATGCCCTGAGCCAGGTGCTAGAAGTACAAAGAGACAAAAGTGAAACAGTCCTTACCCTCAAGACTATGGGGATAACAAAAGGTATATTAATAATATCAATAATAATTAGTAACTTGTGGTAGGAAGCATTAGCCCTCCCATAGGCTTGGGGCCCATTGAAGGAGGAGGAAAATAATCTTCTAATCAGTGTACCTTATGTGGCTTGAGCTGCCATACCTGTGTCAGGTCAACTCAGATGCTCACTTGTTACCCTGTTAATAGAAACTTAAGCAAACAACAGAAAAGGAAATGTAAGACATTAGAAAAATCCTCAATACCTGTTCCCAAGGTGTTCTTCTATAGACTGATACACCAGTGGGGCTTCAGGACAATTTGCTTTTCATCACATCTGGAAAACCCCTCATATAAATGTCCTGACAATTCTGTCTTTCTGTATGTAACGAGCAGTCAGCATGAGTGCCTGCTGAAGACTTTCTGCAGGCATTCATCTTGGCTTGCCCCACTGGTTTGTCAAGATTCTATTAAGATTCCTGGATCCAGGGATACAGCTATAATTCCAACTCATTCACTCTCTTATACTAACCCTGGAACAAACCTGAGATATTAAAGGTCTGAATTTTGGCGGCATTCCCCCCTGCCCAAGACATTCCTTCCACTCTGTAAGAAAAAAAAAAAAAAGGAAAAAAGAAAAGAAATGCAGTCCCTACAAATCACACTGCAGGTATGCACAGCTGTAGGTACACATTGTACAGCTGTAGGTACACATGTAAAATAATCTTTATTTTGAGTACAGCATAGTCTGAAGAAGTCACCTCCAATCCACAGGTCACATGCAGATACACAGAACCTGATGCACAAATTAGAATTTTATACAATGTAGCAAACACATATCATATGCCTAAACATAGAATATAGCATCCTATAACAAAGTTAGAGCAGTCAAATGAAAATACGTAATACAAAACACATTGCATAGTTGAATGCAGTAGATCAAAGAGAACACGTACGGATAGATAGGATACTGTAATATATTATGAGGGTTATGTACCATATGATAGGCACCACATTGGTTCAAGCTATTATCTCCCTCCTGGACTCTTGCAGTAACCTCCTAATTGGTCTCCTTTCCTCAATTCTCTCCTCTCTCCAATCCTTTTTACACAAAAGCTACCAAAGTGATTTCTCTGTAGCACAAGTCTGATCATGTATATCACTTCTCTGTTCAGTAAATTCAGTGACTGCCATTGCTCTAAGATCAAATCTTTCAGAGCCTGGTCTCAACCTGCCTTTCCTTCCTCTTTATACATTTTTCCCTTTCCCATTTCTCCCTTTCTACAGTCCATCCAAACTAGCCTTTTTGCCATTTCTCACACATGACACTCCATCTCATATCTGCATGCTTTTGCACTGGCTTTCTCCCATTAAAATTGATTGCCTCCTAGCCTGTGCCTCTAATAATCCCTTATTCCTTCAAGGAATAGTTCAAACACCACATGATGCCTTTCCTGATGCCCTCAGATACTAATGCCCTCCCCTTCAAAAATATTACCTTACAAATTTTATCATGTAAATATTTTTCGTGTGTGTACGTGTTTGTCTCTCTCTTTATGTACAGGTTGTCTTCCCAAAAGAATTTAAGTTCCTTGAGGGCAGGGACTGTCACATCTTTGTTTTTATATCCTTGGTGCCTAACAGTACCTGGCACTTAGTAGGCACTTAATAAATCCTGATTGATTGAGTCATCACTTATATATAAATAAACAGAGTATATCATATATTGGATTTCATACAAAGTAGATTTTACACATTTTCTATTACTGATCACTCTCTGGCTACATGTATTACACCTTCACTGTTGACCCAGGAATACTTCTCAAATATATTTACTGCCACTTTGGGCCAACAGACCCCATTCTGTATCAGCTTCAGTTTTCTTTTGATCCAAGTATCCAGAATCACCATGAAGTATTTCTGTCACCATGGATCAATAAGCCTTGGATAATATCTACTGCCTTCTTATACCTTGGGTAGGATTGTTTGTACTCTGGTGCAGTATTCCATTGTAGAGCTCCAATTTCTTCTACTCTTTTGCTAGCAAGGTGCCTTCTGGGGAACAAAACTTGAGTTCTCTGAGGGTCGTGTTCCTGTTTCCTTACCTGTGGCACAGTTCATAGGAAGTCATGCTGTAGTTGTACTTGCCGCCAAAAATAATCAAGGCAGAGGAGACCAGTTCAGTGCTATAACATTTACTCCTTCTTGAAGTCCTAGACTTTTAGCTACTTTTTCTTGTGTGAGTGATCCCACTGCCTATGTATCATTCATTTCACCCCATTCTTGAAGAATTATCCAGGATTTCTGATGCTTAGATTCTGTGTGACAGGGGAACAATATATATTCACATTGGTTTTCCCTGGCCTGATTTGTTCTGTGAAGTTTGGATTCAGTCAGAAGGCTGCACTGGAGGACCTAGAGGACCACATGTGACCTCGAGGCCACAGGTTCCCCACTTCTGCCTGGCCAATAATATCCACTGACCTCATAATTGGCCAGTGCTCCTAACCAATTCTAAACTGGCACTGGCCAACTTAGCACTTGTTAGAATATAAATCATTGGATTATTGTTCATCTATGTATGGAATCAAGTTTGGTACATCAGTCTTGGAACTTAGCAGTGACATCCCACTTGAGAGCCAAGAACTTTAATTTGTGGGTGGAATAATAAGTCTTTCTCACTGCCATTCAAACCTCAGCTGGTAAATGCAGTAGGCTTCTGGTCATGATTACTCTACTGGTATGAAATTGCTTTCAAACCCTCTAGCCTGGCTTCATTGGCTTGTTCAGTCTATAAAAGACAACAATGGTACATGTATGTGGCAGTTAACCATATCCTTAAATACCTGCTCACATTTGTCATACTAATGATCTATAAACTGTGCCAGAGAGTTCAGAAATGATTTCCCTCCTTTGCCTTTCTGCTTTTGGTTTTTATAAGACCATATATAGATCTAAAGCCAGAAAGGACCTCAAAGGCCATCTAGGCTAACCACCACATCTTACAGATGAGGAAACTGAAGTCTAGGGAGATTAAGAGACTTGCTCAAAGTTACATGTGAGGGAAGTGTCAAAGACAAGATTTGAAGTGAAGTTGTCTGACTCGAGTCAAGTGTTCTTTCTACTATACCATACCTCTATATCTTAGCCATGTAACCGT